CACAAAGCCCTAGATTTTGTGAACAAAGGCCCGAGTTGACTTGGAGTCCGCAAACCTTGGCTCGGCCTGAGCCCCGGCTAAGCTTCCACCCGCCTTCATTCTGGAGTCCTCTCCATTGCTCAGGAACTGGTCACTGCCTTGCCCTTCTGATGCAAGAAAAGGTACGGTAGAGAGCCTGTGAAGGAGTGGAAAGATGAGGAGTCCCTGCAGCTCAGCGGAACAAGGGGGAAGCCCTCCCTGCGCCAGGGCACAGCGGCCCCTGGCGGCGAAACTGGGGCATTCCCCTGTCCCTGGCTAAGTGGCTGCCATCCCCATGGAAAGGGTCCATGGAAGAGAGCTGCCTATGGGGAAGTTAGTGCATAAATTCTCTGACGACTTATGGGGATGGCTCATAAGAAAGATTAGTCGTCAGTAGTAAAAAGGAATTAGTCCGAATTCCCCGCTTGGAAATCAAGAGGAGGAGAAAGCGGGTCTTACAGTTTGTTGATTAACCAGGTGGTTCTAAATAAGAGAGGGGGGAAAAAGATTTCAAGGTTTCCCCAAAACATGAAAATGAGGCTCTTTGGGGGAGAAAATCATCAGACCTCATCTCCCTTATGAATTGGAGATATAAACCAGGCAGCCAGAGGAGATGTAGAGTAGGTCCCTAGGAGTACTGGTGGCCACAGCTCAGGAAGCAGGTGCACAGGACACATGCTGTGCTCAGCTGGGCCTAGTCAAGTCGATCATTAAGGTAGTTTAGAAGGTTCAGAATTTATTTCCCAGAGTGAAAATGGGAAAAGGAGAAGGAAAGTCATCTCAGCATCCTAGAATATAAGCAGAAGAGGTTTCAAGTGGGAAGAGGGGATCGAGAGAGTCCACAGCCATAAAAAGTAAGACGGAGGTCAGAAAAAGCAAGCAACCCTGGCAGAGAAAAGGCAGTGGAGGAGACTCAACACTGCACCAAGGTCAGAGTCACATTCTCAAGGAGCTAAGAAAGGATGATGCGGTAGGGAAATGTAGGGGAGTGAAAATAGCTGTCTCCTCCACCCTCCAGGAGTTCCTGACTGGGGCTCCCTGTAACAAGCGGCAGACTAACAGGAGAAAAACAAGCACAAGTTCTGTAACATGTGTGGCTCCTGTGCACCCAGGCGGCAACTCAGAAATGAACTGTCTTCAAAGGGGCCTGAAAAGACGTCCCTGCTGCCTGCCCAACTCCTCTCCTTCCCACTGGTTGTCTGTGGAGAGGGTTCTTCTCAGCAGGTTTCTAGGAGGGGAAGTGGAGGGAGAGAGAGGCCAGGGGAACCAACCAGGGACAACTGAAAGCAGAAGAGCAGCTGGGGAGGATTTGTGGTGAGGGTTTTAGGAACAGGACGGGGAGGAGTGACTGAAGAGCGTGCTGAGAATGGAGAGGGAAGATGCAGACAGGTGAAGTCAGTAAAGAGAGGGACCTCTCCAGTGGAGTCATCCTGAAGGCAATCAAGCAGGAAATGAGCCTCCTCTCCCCTGCCCTCCCCTTCCCTCCCCTTCCCTCCCCTTCCCTTCCCTTCCCTTCCCTTCCCTTCCTTTCACACGGGTGAAGGAGTCTACACTAAAATAAAGAAAGACTCATCCTCTTAGAGGCGGCCCTAGGGAAAGAGCAGATGCTCAGCTGTCAGGGAGACTTGGTCCTGGCAGAAATGAGGACTTAGAGATGGCCTGATGCCAGCAAAGGAAGACACTGGACCTGGGAGAGCTTTGGTGCATCTCTGTAAGAAGAGCAGTCAGTCAGTATGTGAGAAGAGGAGGCAGGGGGTGAGTCAACCAGCCCAAGTGGGGAGCATTTCAGAAGCCCAACAGGAGACTGGTTAAGGAAACTCTGAAGAGTACTGGCAACCCTTGCTGAATTCAGCTGATTGAGTGACTGTGCAGCTAGACAGGGCCGTGTGCCCATCTGAGCAACAGAGGTGGTGCCGTTAAGGTCAGGAGAGGTTAATATGTCAGAGCTTAACTGGAAAGGCAGAGGCAGGCCAGGAAGACAGGGATTCCAGGTGGGTGACACCACTAAGACAGTGCAAAGGTACAGACAGCGAGACAAAGGTCAGTAAAAAGGAATATGTCACATCTCAAGAATGGACAGAAGTGGGGGAGCATAGAAATTGAGGCAGAAACCACCATAGAAAGAAAGCTCCAGTTTGATGATATTGGAACCCATTTCTAATTGACAGCACTCAAGGCTTTCAAGGATCGCTGAAAAGGAATGAGGTTAAATCGATCTCACTGGTCTTCCAGAAGGTCTGAAAAGTATGAGGCTTACAATGACTTAGGGGTTATTTGTGTTGATTTTCAGATATAACATCTTGGCCTGTAACATATTTGGTCTTTTCCCCCTTTACCGGAAAAATGGCTTCTAAAACCCTTGAAATCTCCAAATTGGTAAACACTGTTTTATGTGCTAATGAGGTGACTGTGGTGGGAGCCCCAGGATAGCCACCAGAGGGCAGCTGGTTGCCACGGGAAACAACCCTGTGATTGGAGGGTGGCGCTTTAAGCACCGCCCTCCAGGGTGAGAGGAGCTGAAGACTGATCACCAGTGGCCAAAGGTGCAATCAGTCATGCCTCCTGTTAAAGTCTCCATGAAAACCAGGAAGGACAGCATTTGTGGGATTTCCAGTTCCTGAAAGACCCTGGGCCTGGAGAGGAAGTGGAAGTTCTGCACCCTTTCCCAAAGCTCACTCTAAGCATCTCTTCCATCTGGCTGCTCAGCTGTATTCTTTGTAACGTCCTCTGAGATAAACCAGTAAACGTGTCTCCTGGGTTCTGTGAGCGTCTCTAGCAATTAACTGAACCCATGGAAGGGGTGGTGAGAATCTTGACATGTAGCTGATTGAGCCTAAGTCCGGCCACTGCCTGGGCTTCCCACCATATTCTTAGGTCTGTAGATGAGGGCAACATGCTAATCTGAGCTCTCCCAGCGTTCTCTCCTCTCACAGACAACTCTCTGTTTCTCCCACCCCCTTTCCTTATTATCTCCTATTATTTTTTCTCTCATTTCTCAGAGTTAACTGGGCATTCAACAGACCGCTACAGCAAAATGGTACCACACTGAGATGTGGAGTCTGTCCTGGGCCTGGCTTGGCTTATTCGTTAACTAAGCACGTGCCTTTCACACTAGCCCTCTTATGGATTACAAAGAATTCTTCCATAGGAGTGTCAATTATTTCATTTTCATGAATCTTAACATTTGTTTGCAAATTGTCAAAATTACAAGTGTTAACTTTGTTGATGTGATCGCGGTTGTTACTGTGCTTTATTCTAGCTGTTGGGTACGGACTCCAGATGATTTCCTTCCTAAAACAAATATAGATCCCCCCACACACACACCCCGCAGGCAAATGCATCACAAAATCTGTTCTCTCATCTTTATTTTTTTTTTAATTTTCTCCACTCTAAGTAAACCTCAATAATCACGTTTCTGATTTATTTTTTTACATAGAGTACTTGAGAGTTTAAAACAGTTATCAATGTGTACAGAAGTTAAAATTACCTGTCACCTTTGCTTCCTTCTGTTATTATCCTGGAAATATTTCATGTGCAGATATTTCATGTTTTCTTCAAATAAAAATTCTGGTGGAGAAAAAAAATACTCTTTGCCTTTCTTGTCTGTGATGTGCTGGGTATGCAGTAGAGATCCAAAAGCTTCCATCTAGAACACATCTATTCTAGAGTGGAATGTCTAATTGAAAAATGTGCTTTTCAGTTACCAAAGAAGGGTATATTGCTTTATCCTTGTGTGAACTCAGTTTTCTTCTGATAAATTATACTTCAATTTCACGTGTGTACTGCAAGGCTGGATACTGTTCATCTTAACAATAAACTTCTAGTGTCAGGCAATTTGGGCAAGGAACAAGTTTAGGCCATTTCAACATTACCTTTAGAAAGCAAATCACTGAGCACTGTCCATTGACACCCATGCTCTGAGCTCATGTGCACTTTCCAGTGTCACCCTGGGTTCCCTTGGGATCTAGGACACGTTCTAAGTCTGAAAAAATAAAGTTCTTTCTGGGTGCTTTAGTGTGTGAAGTCATCCATCTCTAGGGATAATCCCATCTGAATGGAGGATAAAATGGTGGGCATGAAGCATTAGAACCTAGGACCTGAATTGGAGTTCTATGTTTGTCATAAGTTTTTTTTATGGAACCTTAGGCAAATCACTTATTAACCTCTTTGGCCAAGATTCTCCCCCAATAAGATAAAATAATGCCTTGCCTGCACATCTTATCCATTTCCTTATCAAACTAGATGAAAGAAGTGAAAATGCTTTGGAAATTTATGCAAGGAACAGATGCAAGCTGTGTTCTGTTTTTGCTGAGGTTGGAAAAAGAACTGTGCCCGTGAAAAGTCATTGCTAGCTTTTCAAGTGCATGCTATGTGAGAGTTGGGCTGGATGCACACTGCCGATCAGCAAAGCAAACCATCCAGATGTTTGGTCTACCAACATGTCAGTCATCTGGAAGTTTCCAAAAATAGTGTTTAATTCTTTATCTTAGTAATGAATTATTTTTTTTTCTGAAAATTTTTATGACCGCTGGTAAAATCAATGGAAAATTTTCATTTAAATTGGTTATTTGATGATGTATCAATCATGCACAAACTTTAAAAATTGTCCAAATCTCTAATTCAGCTTTCTGGAGAAAAAGGGAGAGGGGTGGATCTTTTCATGGAAAATATGGAATTATTTCAAAGTTGAAATTCATCTGAGAGGACATTTTAATAGGTAAAGGCTTGGGACTTAAGACAATAAAAATCACTTAGAATTAAGAGCTACTCTCCCTCCAAACTACCCACCAGCTTTCAGGACAGGGATGCTAATAGGCAGAATTGTGAAGGTCTTCCCCATACCATCCCCTCTCCAGCCACCCAGATCTACACTGTGTCAAGCAATTGAGGCAGAACATTTTTTAAGGAAGGCAATAACTAAGATCTTGACTCCTACAGAAATGCTCATTCTTTTTAAATGACCATACAGAAAAACCAATGCATTTTTATTGATACTACCGTTTATTAAATGAATAGATGAATGAAGCCTTCCTTCTACTCTCCATTGACATGTAAGAAAGGGTCTTCTCCAATTAAACTTTGAATTTAATGGTGAAAGAGATGCATGAAGGATTATACCTCACTAAAATAAGAAATGTTTATATTTAATTAATCTTCCCATGAAGTAGCAAAACATCACACTAACAAGAGTACAGCAGGGTGCACGCTGAGCAGTGACAAGACCCCTGAGCTCTCCTCTGTTCTCTGCTACTTGAGAGCCTGCACCCCCTAGGGGGTGTGACTTTTTCATGAGTCAAGGACAAGTAAGGTTAAGGTCAAGTCACTTGTAATTTTACAATTTTGGATTGACTCTGAATAATTCAGTAGTACATTTTGAAGTACTTTGGTCAAAGGATAATTTCTTTTTGTTCTCCAAAGGGCAAAGCCAAGCCACAGCTTCATGGTCCTTGGAAATGCATTGAAGATTAGGTCTAAGTAGATAGGAAACTTCTCCAAGTACATCCATTTATCTGATGACTGGATGGGTAAACATACAAAGTAGAATCACAAAAGAAGAACAAATCCCCTGGAGACTGATCCCAGGACCTCCAGGGACACCCAAATCCATGGGTGCTCAAAGTCCCTTATGTAAAATGGCACAGTATTTGCATATAGCCAGCACACATTCTCCCATAAACTTTCAATGACCTCTAGATGACTTTCATACCTCATTCAATATAGACGCTATGTCAGAAGGTCTATTTATACTGTATAGCTTAGGGAATAACAACAAGAACAACAGTCTATATGCTCAGCATAGGTGCAACTATTTTTTCCAAATATTTTTCATCACTGGTTGATTGAATCTACAAATGCAGTACCCAGAATATGGAAGCTGCATGTACATCTAGGTACAAAGGTGAAAATATATAAGACTCCTGGTAAGGGTTCTTGATTCTTGTCTTGGCAAAGCAACCTCTCAATGAAGTAGACTCTTTGATTCAGGATCTGATTAAAAGAAAAAAAATGTTTTGAGGTCATAGTTATTGTAAATTATAAAATATTATGTAACAACTAAAATCAGAAAGTTGTAGTAAATAAAACTGAATACCCTACTGAGATATAATACCATGTGCTCCAACTGACAGGTGAGAAAACAAATAGCTTATAGTCTCAAGTTAGTATTTGATAGAATTAAAGCAGGCCGACCTGTCATTCCAAACCCCTGAAGAGTTGGGTAGATTTTCTTTTCTTTCTTTTTTCCTTCCTGTCCTCCTCTCCCTCCATCCTCTCCCTTCTCCTCCCCCTTCTTTCACTTCTCCTCCTCCTTCCTTTTTGATATGCTATGCTACTGGTCCAGGCACAATTTTCAGAATTCCCTGGAGAGCAGACCCACTGGAGTTCACAGAGTGATAAGCAAAGGTACTTGGTGAAGAAAGGAAGGGCCGTCTTTGTCTTTTGAGGAAGTGGTAGTCAATGGCACTTGAGTCAATTGTTTCCTGTATGCAGTTGAAGTTTTAAAAGAAATTATGGAAAGGGGGTAAATAAATAATATGACTCTTGCCATGAGATGTATTTTGAGTCTTTCCTCTTTAAGATCTTTATTATTCTTGCTTCCTTTTTTTTTTTTTTTTGTATTCAGAGATATTTTGCACTGAAGCAAAAACCAAGTAACAAATTCCAAGCAATGGGATTCTATAAAACACAAAAATTAATGTCTGGATTTTGGCTCATTGAGACACTTTAAAAGGCATGAAATTGCCAAGTCTTGCATCGTGTTCTCAAATGCTATTGACTTTCTGCCTACCTTGCAAATTACAACTATGAACTCTGAACCAAGAATAAAATGTGCTCATTCATCAAGTCTTTAAAAAAAAATACCCTTTTCTTCTCATCTTACCTTTTATCAAACTCATCATCATCTATCAGAAAATTCTAGTTTCCGCTGCAGACCTCAGCAGTCCTAATTTCACAGATGTTGAAGTGGTCCCTTTTGTGATTCCGTTTGTGCCCACCCATACAGCCTTACATATTAATGTTCATAACACCTTTTCTTCTCTCCCAAACGGAGCCATTTAAAAAACTATAAAATAAGTTGTGTTTTAGTGTATTACAGCACTTAATGGAGCAAATTCCTCAAGCCCAAGTTAAAAGTGAGAAAACATTTAGTAACAACCGAGGAGAAGGCCTCACGTGTTAGGGTTGGGAGCCTCTTCTCCACACTCAGGTCCAAGTTTCAGTTGGCAAGTGCTGGCCTCGCAGCAGCGATCCTTGCATTCCTTCAAAGTACACAGAAGACCGGGAGAGTCAGGTCCGTGTGTTGTTCCCACAGAACAAGTGCATAGGATTTAGGTACAAGACGGCAATGAAATCAAATTTCACCATTTAAACTAAACTGTTCTGTTACACCAACCCCACTGGAAATGACCACGGGAAAATAACGATAGGGAAAAAAATATCATAAACAATGAAAACTATCTCTTCAGTAACCAAAAAAAAAAAAAAAAAAAAATGATCTAAGCATTTCCTTAATGAGTTTGGTCCATGTGCTATTACATGTACATTAATTAAAATATGCTACACTACTCCAATCATTTGAAATTAGAGAGAAAAACTGAAACCTGAATTCATTTTACCAAGCCCACAAAATTCTGGCAGTAAGACTGATTAGGATCACAGATACTATTCTCATAGATGAATACAAATGCAAAAACTATAAAGTGATGTTAGTAAAATCCCAGCTTATTCAGGTAACAACTCTTCATTACAACTGTGAATTTTCTCCACCCAAAGTGCAAGGGCAGCTTGTCTGTACAGAAAGGGCAATGGAATCCATCCTGTTAAGAGACTGAGTGGAGAAAACCATATTGCTATGGTGGTCAACACCAGTTAGTCGACGGTAGCCATTGCTGAATCTCCTAACAGGTATCTACAACATATGAAAACTACAGCTAGCACAATGCATGGTCACCATAAGGAAAATCTAGGTGACAACTTGTAAAAGGTCAGCTGATAAAATGAAGAACAAGACAAGCATGACTTACATTCTGTGTTTTTATGGAAATTCTAAAAAATAGCACAAGAAAGGTAAAAGAAAATATGAAGGAATAAGAATCGACAAGATCAAATCATATTTCCATTGTTTGTTTGGGTATAATTCTCTACCCAGAAGAAAACAGAGGATTGATTTAAAAATATTTGATGAGTCATTAAGATGGCATCAAAATTAGTAATGAAGGAGAACCTAAATAAAGAGAAAACATCGCACATCCAGCAAAAAAGAAAAAATAGTTTAGAATAAACTTTCAAACTGTGTAAGCACCACATGAAGAAAATGTTTCCTGAGAAACTTTGAAGGCAGCTCTTCTTTCAAAGAAAATATTTAATATTATGGAAATATCAGTGACCTTGAGAGCAAAGCAAGGATTTTTACATGAATATGTCTATAAAGTTCATAAACAACATCTTAGAGTTAGCAATTTACTACCTAACACTTAACTTCACACAATAATGTCATTATGTTATCCTGGGATTTGAAATGCTTTTGGAAAGAAAACTAAAATTAATAGAAAAACAAAGCACAAATCTACTTTTTACTCTGATATCAAGTTTATCTTTAGAATCTCTAAAAGAACATCAAAAAAGAAAAAAATAAAACCTGCGTAATTGAATTACCCTGCTAGGTCTCTAAAAGTTGTTTTAGATCTTGTAGAATTTCGTACCTTAGGAGAGCCACAGTCACAGTCTTCTCCCACCTCTAGAAGTTGGTTCCCACACACAGGTTCTGTTATTATATTTGCAGGTAGAGGTGCTTGCATTATGCACTTTGGTTTTTGAGAGGAAAGGTATTTTTGAAAATATGAGAGGCAGGATGAACTGAAATCCTTTGGGAATTTTGAACTGCAACCAGAAAAATACTCAGAAGTAACACTATATAGAGTGCAGTGGCTTTTCATGTTAAGTGATTATGAAAATCTAACATATCTAACTCTATTATCTGGCTAGATGGAAATTGCAAGTTTAGTAACTGCTAAGGACTACATGATAGTCCTTATATCTGGTGGGTGGTGGAGCTAACTGAAAATTTTTTTCCTAGAGACTCAGATGTAGAGATGAAAGAATTTAATTTCTCATGTGGATTCAGCACTTTTGTAAACAAAAACAGCAATGAAAATCTCCTTCGGTTACCATCCACTCATCTCCCACCGAGGAATGTGTATAAGAGACAATAACAATGGCCCAGTGAAGGGAAATAACTGCAGACTTCAAGATTCTGTGGACATATTTCTCCTTATTTGTGAACATCTCAAGAACAAGGCATGATTTATTCATTTTTTTTTATCCCAAGTCCTTGCAAAGTGATTGACATTAATAAGTAATTCATAAATGTATAGAAGTGGATTGATTAATCCATGGGTCAGGCTATATGAAGATACAGTTATCATCTTAGGCTAATGTTTTCAGAAGTTATGCTGTCACTTCAAGTTAAAGTAATTTTAAGTTAAAATACAGTCACTTTAATTATAAACTCTTTGTGTATTTAAAAATCTTAAGGAATGATATGTGATATTGTGCCTAAAGAGACTGGGGTTTGAATTAACAGGATACAGAGCCTTTGGACAAAAAATACCCATCCAATAAATGCAGAATGCATCCCGAATTCTTTAAGATTGAGGGGAAAAAATTTAGAGTGGCACGGTCTTACCTCAGATATTGACCCATCACACAACTTCCTGAGGGGCACTTGACGGTGTATGAAAGATCAGGCATGCCGAGAACATGGCCCAACTCATGTGACATCACACCTACAAGAGCCACATTATTCTTTCTTTTAGCCTGAAAAAGAAGAAAGAAAGAAAGATCTGTTACTTCCTATTTTAATTAGTTATTTCTCAGTTGTTGTCAATATTCATCACTTAAAAAGAATAGCCTGAGAGCTGGAAAAGAATGAGTCATGAAGCTCCGCCCCCACCTTTGCTCACTGCCCGAGGCTGAATGAACCTGGGAAATGGTTGGATCCTATGAATCTGGTCGGAGTCAGTACTCGATAAGTGTTTGTTGAACTAACAGACACTAAGTTCTTAGTAATCAATTATTAAAGCAATTACATTGTCCACAGAAAGTCCAAAGAGGTATCCTAATGAGGACTCAAAGTTCTATAACAACTGTCACCATGCTGATACCTTAGGAGCCCTGCATGCTTCTTTGCTCCCTGAATGTCCTCTTTTGGTCACAGATACCAAAAGACTAATTTAGAGTAGTCTCAGGCCACAGAGTGCACCTGGCTCCCATCTCCATCTCAACATTCCTGCTGTATTCCTTAATACCAATCCGAGTGTGACACCCCCCAGCAGGCCTGATATTTCACAGTCCAGGGAATCTGCAGCACAATGATCTGCCGGTGGTTTCCTTTCCACATTTATTGATTGGTTCAGCAAATGTTCACTATGCCCACTCTGAGCAAAGCATTCTACACGTCTTCCCAGAGAGGCAGAACCACAGGGAACCTTAGTGTAAGTTTACAAACCTCAATAACAGCAACCGAAGACGCGGAGCACAGGGAATTGGAGGCTGCCATTCCCACGCGGCGATTATTGAAGCCAATCCCACTATGTGAAAGGCACAGAAACACTGTCACAGCCTGTCTTTGGAACCACCAGCTTTTCCCACTGCTGTTCTACATTTTCCTGGCTGCCTAGCCTTTTCATGGGCCTCAATGCAGCTTTGTACTATCCTACAACAGTATCATGGCCATGTTGATTATCTCACATCCTAGAGCCCACCACATAGATTGCACCGGGGCCTCCAAAATCCTGCAGGTGAATTGCTAATGGCAGGACATCAGGGCTTCTCACGACTGATCAGGGAAATCTGACTGAGCACACATCTCTGCCAAGGCACCTTGGGGGAGGCTCTCACTCTGCCCACATGCACCTGCCCTGGCCAGAACGTGCCCACCTGAGGAGCTGCGCATGGTCGTGGATCTTCTTCTTGCCCAGGTTAGAACGATGCCAACTCATGAAGTTCTTGAAGGTTTCACCAATGTTGGGGACCACTTTTATCTTATCATTATCTGACCAGATCTCCATACCGACCAAGGCCACACGAACATGTATAGTTTTATAAATCTGTGGACACAACGGTTCAGATTCCTTTAGGGTTTTAGAACTTTTGCTGACCACAAATGATGGATAAATAGATGCACCATAATTGACGAGTTTCCGTTTTAAAAAGAGAAACACCAGAGGTTGCCTTTGCTGTAGTGTATGTGATTTTACCTTGAGGTAGTGTTTGCTTTGCTAAAATGTCCCCAGGACTGCTGCCCGTAAAGCACTGTGACTCTCTTGACTGCTTACATGAAGTGGCAGGAGCCCCAGGCCCACGTGTGGAAGCACAGGCTCACACGACAGATGTCTTACCACATTGAGGAGATTCATCACATCGAACACAAAGCTTCTCATCACAGTTAGATTCCCCTGGTACATCTTATACTGCAAAATGCAAAGCACAGAGTACAATTAAAAAGGAAATTAAAGTGAAGTGGCTGAATGGGTACAGGATTTCACATTTATAAAAAAAATTACCTATTTTAACATAATTCACATTTATTCATATCATGGCTACTTATGACTGTTTTGTGAAAGGCTATTTCAACAAAGTCTATCTTAAATGTAAGAGTGTGGGGGTCAAAAAATTTCATGGTTGTTCATTTCTAAGTAGATATGCCAAATTAATAATTGAGAATATTTTGAAACCAATTCACTATCAATTAAAATTTAAACATGAAGCAATATTTACTAGGTAAAAATGTGGATACCAGTATTTTTCTCTGTATATATAATTAAAACTTTAAGTTATATATAGTTTTGCAACTAATTTATATTTGTAGGCTATATTAAACATATTGATATTTTACACTAAAAGGTTAAAGTAATTTAATCTTTAACCTATATTTTATGTTATTTTTATTTTTGTGGTTGATTGCCAATAGCTCGATGGTATTAAGGATCCATGGTGTCTGGTGGGTATGAAAAGGGAAGGTGATTAAAACCTATTGCTTGCAAAGTAGTTAGAGAAGCCAAGAAAAACAGGCACACAACAAGCACTGTTAGCAGAAATGCATGGCTTTTGCTTGATCGCTAAGCCTCCATTGGAGCACGGTGTCCCGGAACCACAAGCATCTCTTACTTACAAAGGCGTTATCCAGCACCAAAAAGAGATTGATGACTTTCTGGGCCTGAAGAATGTCTTCTTGCTTTACAGACAATAAAAGAGCATTGTTTATCAGTATCTTTATCCTAAAGGATTCCAAAGCTTACATGACATTTTTTTTAATCATGAAAAGAAATGAAGGATAAGTAATCAATGACAACATGTCATACATCACACGTCACAGCTGAGATGATTGATATCGATGATGAAGCAGAAAACTACACTCACCTCTGGGTTTTTGAGGGACCTGAAAGTTCGAATATGGCCTTGTCTCCTGCCAACAGTTCTCGTGCCACAAGTGTGATTCGCTGTGTCTAGTTCTTCCTGGTTGTTCGTAAAAACAGCATGTTCTCCCCGGTCTGTGCTTTTCCCAGGTTTTATCAGGTATCTTTGGCCACGGTGTGTGAAGTGTCCTCTGTGAGGCACAGAGACTGTATTTCAGGATCTCCTCACACACAGCACACACACTGCTCAGAAAGGATGGATTCCTCTTCCCATCCAATTCCACACACACAGTTATCATCCACAGACCTTTTAACTAACATTTGTTAATTTACATTGTAAGCAGTATTTGTCAATGTTTAAATAAAGCCTATGTTAGTTCACCCAGAAAATTCTGAAGATTTACTAAAATGAAGCAATCCCCCCAAATTTGGATCTTACACCACGAGCTCAGTATGTATTTTTCCATAGTTTGTTTATTCACTTAACAATTATTTCTTGGTAGATCCTAGGGATATAATGGGGAATGGATTAAAGGAACATTTAGAAACTAAGAGCTCCAGAGGAGAGAAAGAAGGATTAGTAGACCAGCCAGAGTAACATATGGGATTAGCAGTAGCTTAAAGAATTTCTCTTTCTAGTAAGACAATTAGTTCAGAAACAGAAAGTGAGTCCATGTTATGGAATATTATGAATCCAACAAAAATGTCATTGAAACTGTATTTATGAAGGTATTTTATGATATGTGAGAACATGTTATTAAGTATGAACCATATTGGAAGAGCAATTATGTGTTTTATTTCATTATTCAATCATGTGTGAAAAGAATACATCTCTATGTGCATAAAAGACTACAGACATGAAAAATGTTAGTAATAGTGATAGTTCAGAGGTAAAATTTTGCAGTGGCTACTGTTTTTTTATTTGTGCTTTTTGTTACTCTAAAGTTTCCTAGTTGGCAAGAATTACCAGTGTAAAAAAAAATAGACACACAAATGTTTTAAAAAAATAAGTTCAGTGTTTGCTTCAGCAGCACATACACTAAAATTGGAATCTTCAGAGAAGATTAGCATGGCCCCTGCTCAATGATGACATGCAAATTCATGAAGCATTCTATATTTTTAGGAAAGATGGTGGAATGAGATGGACATCATTACCCTAAGTACATTTATAAAGACACGAATGGTGTGAAACTACTTTGTGTACAACCAAATTGTGGTTGAACAATTGTGCTGTATATGTGTAATATGAATTGTATTGCATTCTGCCATCATATATAACAAATTAGAAAAATAAATAATTTTTAAAAACTAAGTTCAGCAGAGGTAATTGCAGGTTAGAATCTTAAAGAGAAGAAGACATGATTGCTTCAGAATGAGGTAGATGGACTTGGAAGTAGACCCAGATGTCACCAAGGTCTAGAGCATAGCTCTCTTGCTTAAACAGAGCTGGGCCTGACTTCTAAAACATCAGTTACGAAATGATTGTAAGGGTGATGCTTCAGTCTCCACTTCAACCACATATATTCAGCAATTAGTGATGAAGGAAAAAAAATCACCAAAATAGTAACAAGACATAATGCCCAGTGAGACTCAATTCTGTATAACAGAATGTTGCTTGATATTTAATATTTTTGGTGTGCTTCTCACCTCAACCCATCACAGGTACTAATGCTGGCAACAGAATCCTTTTCATTTAGGATGTGACCTTCATAGTAACAGTGTTTCTGGAGTGGAAAAAAAAACACATATGCTTTAAATATAAGCATGCACTCTGAAAGTATATGGTCTATAGTAGTGGGGAAAGCCGCCATCTTGAATACGTGCGGCAGTTCAAATAGCAGTTCCTAGAAACAAAAACAGTGAAAACATCAGGGATATTCTAAATTTCTCCAAAACTGACACTAGAAACTCTCTGTATTTGATGTCTGAGATGTTTTCCTGACACTAATTTGCACTAAAGCAAATCTGAGGTGCTTGCAGTTACATGGGTTCATGGTGAAAGTGAATTTGCCTCTAAGTGGCCAGTCCCCTCGGTGGGGGAATTATGTTACTGCTGGCAGAACCTCAGGTCTTGGACCCTTAGGAATTGGGTTCCCTGTGTTGAGTCCCCAAAGACACTGTTCATCATATGTTAACAAAACCAGGCATCCAGTTTTCTAGACATTAGAATCTTCAAGTGGCTATGCTTCTGTACCTGAGACAAACTGACTGGTTAAATTCAGCAACTTTAATTGATCTATTAGTGGAATCCCTTTCACAGACTTCAACTCCAGAATATTTGTCAACAATTACAAATTTACATGATTGATAGTTCACATCAGCAAAGTAGGGGGCCATTAACATGCAACAATTTTAGAAAGCTAATGACCAATCTGTGGTTCAAAATAAATGGTCTTTTTGCACAATATGAAATTCCGTGTATGTGTGTGTGTCAATCCTTGGGAAGAAACTCTTGTAATGTTTTCTTATAGAAGACTTAGACAATGTACTACATTAACATATCACAGGCATTAATATTTGAGCATGGGGGATTCTTTTTGGATCTGTTTTTTTGTTTGTTGTTGTTTTTTTTCAGAGAGAGAGAGACATATGTATTGTATTTAAGGTACATGGAGAAGGGCTCTGAGAAACTCTCTCAGCTTATCAGTACTTCTGGAATGAACCTGTATGTTCTTCCTGCTCTTCTCTGATTCTCTGCACAGTTATTCTCTATGTCTGAAGGTTAGGCCCTAGAATTGGTATATAGGATGGTGCTCTAACCAGATGTAAATATATTAATTATATAATTGATATTCCATTACTCACCCTATGATAAATGAATATATCTTCAGGAAGTAGTTAAACAGTGACACAATTTTTCAGTTATCTAAAGCAGAGACTATTTCTATCCTATAGTTAAAATGGTCTAGGGACAAGTGGACTTATGGTGGCTCCTAAAAATACAACACAGAAATCCCCTATTACTCCTACCTTCTAAAAACCAAAGGAGATTTTCCACCTGTTGTCTCATTAGTCACAGATAAGCATCTTGATTTTAGGTCATTTGATTTTTTTTTAAGTTATCCATGGACCTATGCATTTTCCAAGCAAGGAATAGATCCCAGGAAGCAGCAGACCTTACCATGCTCTGAGAGCGTCTGGTGATTTCCTCCCCGGCAGATGAGTAATATGTTTCGGTGTAGTCTGGCCCCAGGAGATGCCTTGAGGAAGCAGAAACCTGCATGACACACTCAACGTGGTACCAAAGGTGATTCACCTGACATAACCTTCAACACTGAGGGAGTAACTTGTCTATGATGAGGAATCATTGACGTTTGACCATTTGGTCCTTTCCCATCATAGGAACTCTGCTGCTGAAGCCAATCAGAGCATTCTTTACCATAAATGGATCACTTTAGGATTTTTATTTTTCACCAAGGACACAGCCTAATGGATGTTTCTATAAGGTTCTGGGTCACAAGTGTGGCTGAAGAACCATCGCCTCCCTGAAGAACTTCACGGACTGCTATAGAACTCAGGGGAGTTTCGTCTCCTGGAATCTATCTCAAGATTGTGCACCCCGACTCAGCCTTGGACATACCGTTCTTACTAAAGCAATGGAAAGTCACATCCAAGCCCACCTGAGTAGCAAAGTATTTCAGTACATTAAGGAAAATTCCAGGAAGAAAGTAATTTATATGTGTAGCTCTTTTACATTGCGCATATAATTCCCTAGAAAAGCATCGACCCTCCTCGATAACATTAACCCAAATTAATATCATCGCAAGCTCAATGTGCTTCATGTCTTCTATTTCCAACCATCTGAATAGAATCTCAAGACTTGTTTCCCACATTCTCATAATATAACCCAGGGATTTGGCCTTCTGGAAGCACAACTTACCTGGTTTTTTGCAGGTGGAGGATGATTTCTTCACCGTTTAAGATAATCTGATACTGAACTTCAGGTGCATATATTTCCTGAAAATATTTAATGGTATAATAATGTAATACAATCCGTATTTCTGAGTATACTTAAAATAATAATATAAATGATGTATACAGTCTATGTCAGGAGAACAATCATAAATTCATAGAGGTTAAATGCAGTTCTGTTATGCCTTTAAAATTCTTAAAATAAAGCTTAACTTGCACAATAAGGCAGACTTCCTAAAAGTTTAGTTAGGTGGCAATCAAACTTACCAATTAACCTAGCCCTAATATGTGAAATGGGGTCTTTTTGTTTGCGCTAATATACAAACCATAATAGATCACCAATAAGATAATAAGAAGGCATGCATTTTTACCTTAAAATCAATCCAAACATACTAAAGGTAACCAATCAAAAAAAGCTAACCAAAATTAAATCAGATGAAAATTACAAACTGAGGAGAATATTTTCAACAATGTAATAGTCAAAGAGTCAATAACCTTAATAAACAAAACTCTAACATTGCAAACTATAGAGATAACGTTGAATTCTCCAATCTAAACACAACCTCTGAGAAAAAGGTGAGCCACTGGGGAAAAGGGAGGGTCACACCCAGGCTGGAGAGACTGAGAAGTGACATCTCTCTCTAGAAATGGCTGCCCTTCCAAGGATCTTTTCCTGTTCTCCTACAAATTTGAAGAACTTTCCAGGAATCTTTACCCTTTTAACTCCTGCTGCTTAACTGTAAAAGCATGCTTACAAGTCAGATGCTCTGTCCTGGACAAGGGCAGCTAGCTGCACTTCAAGCTGGACTTGAAGCCAGAGGTGTTAGAGTTAACTGTGGTGAAGGGGCTCTTTCTTGGTGTCCTGGGTGGCTGGAATCTTCCAGTCCTTCCCAGGCTTACCTCTTTGCCTTGCCTCTTAGTGTGGTTGTTTTCCATCCCTCCTTCGTGTGAAATGTGCAGTAGTTTAGGATAAACTACCTCAGAGAGCTTTATTCCAGGAGTTTGATTTATGACCATGGCTGGGGAAAGAGAGAGAATATTGATATAAAAACTGAAAACTTTTATTTTGTTTCCTTTGGATTTGGTTGGTTGGTTTGTTGAAAGGACATGAAAGACCAGAGTGCCAACACGAGCAACAGGTTGAGAATTTCTTGGATGATGTCTGTATGTGCGAGCTCTGGACCACACGACCAGGAATATCAGGGCTGCTGTTCCTTTTATAATCCAGTCCCGTCTTCCTCTACACTCCCCTTCAAAACGGTGATATCTTTTCTCCCAAAGCTCTCAGGGACTACTGCTTTTCCGTTTCTATGTCCCTTTCTCTCACGGCAGTACAACATCCGAGTACTCACTGCAAAAATCACATGTTTCTTTGGCAGGTAAAACCTGATTCTTAGGAGGGACTCTAACAGCAGTGATTTTACTCCCTGTGTGACCAACTCTGATGCTCTTTGCCTCATTAGCGTTTCCTCTCAAGATTGCAGATTCTGCAGGAAATAAGGTTCTTGTAGACCTCTACTGGAGGAACTTGAAAGCAGCAAATTCTATTTTTCAGAATGTTTCTTATTAAAATATTCATAAGTAGCAACATTGTTTATAAACAAAGTTTCCTTCTTGATGGACTCCAGTTTACATCACATAGTTTCCCACTGTTTACAAATAGTAGGGAAAAAAATCCATATGGAGCCAAAAGAGGCTGTCTTGTATTCCAATTAAATGACCTCATTTTGCCTTCTTACGACTTCTTATCTAAGAGATTTGTATAAAACTTGAGATGAAATGCATAAAATTGTTTAGTGCCACGCTAGGAAAGTGGCAGTCCACCTTTTCTGTTCAATTATTCATATAAAGTCAGTCTTATTTTCTAATGCTCACATTTCACACATTAGTGTCTGGGTTCAAAGCCTGTTTCTCAACCCCTGTGACAACAGGTGTGACTTAGGGACATCAAGCAATTCTACACCTGGCTGATGTGGACACCCTGAAGGAAACAGTAAAGGAAGAATTCCCTCCTAGACAGCTCCCAAATTTCTGCCGTGATGCTTTCCTGAGAATAGTTCATTGTGTGCTAAAAGGAGAAAATAAAATAAGGGCTGGGTTAGAGCTCAGTGGTGGTAAAACGATGCTTTTAGGAGGCCCTGGGTTCAATCACCAGCAAAACAATAAAAAAAAAGAATGACAGAATTATTCAATGAGAGATACAATTTCAGAACATTCTTGCTAAGTTATTATATAAACCATAAATTCAGAGTCAACGATGAACACTGAGTTTCTAGCACTTCAATGATCTGTATGCACGTATAGTATAATTATTAGTTTAATATTTATTCTATTTTATCTTTTCTTTGTGTTAAGGACTGAACAATGTGAGAAACACATCAGGAAGATTAGCTATGAGCCAGCCCTGTGCTGGAAACCTTGGCACAGAACTGTTAAGCAAGTGATAATTTTTTGGTCAGCTTAGACAAGTCCTCAGTAGGTCCTTTACCTCTCCCAGGATGGGATTTGTCTCAAATGTGTTTATATATGGAAATGTGCAGGTTCACAGCACTTGACTTTTAACATGATGATCATGTAACCATTAGTGCGACAATGAGGGCCATCAGGGAGTTCCATTTATATATGGCATAGTAAGGGTATGTATAGTGACATCAAGTTGACTTCTCAATAATTAACCTCAAAGAGAGAAGGAGTTTTGTCTCTGAAACTGGTCCTTTTGACTCTGTCATTCCACTTGTCAGAACGTTTCTTATGAAAATATCCAAAAATGCAGATTTTTTAAAAAACAGTCTTGATTCATGAAGATATCAGTAAGATTTCTTTACTAGTAAAAAAATATAAACAGAGAAAGAAGTAAACTTGCTTTTTCCATTTTTAGAAAATATTGTGCAAACATGAATTTCATTTATCAAAATATATAATCATTTTTAAAAAGTTTGACAAGATTTAGAGTACATGTTTAACACAGTCATTTAAAATATCTCCACTCAAAAAGTTATTTTTAAATACATATATAGATGCACTTTTCCTTGTAAAGAAAGAGGTAGGCAATAATATACTAAAATGAATACAGTATTGATCTTTGGATCATAAGTCATTTTAACAAGGGTGCTTTAAATATTCATCAAATAATTCTGGGTTTATGTAAGATGCCAATATAATGTGCTTACCTTGTGTTTGAACCATGAGCCAGAGAACAGAAAGCAGGAGCCGTGACATGATGGCTACTACAGGTAGCTGAGGACAAGATGTGGTCTCCTCCGCTGTCTGTTTTATCTCCCTCTACTTCTCATCAGAATCTGTGAAAGAAAATAAGACCCAAACTTTTCTTCTCAGAGTGGGGAATGAATGTTTCCTCATGGTGTTGGGAAATTGCCAAGAAATTGCAGAAGTCAGATCTTGAGAATGTTCCTCATTTATGAGAGGTATTTATGTCTGGGGACTGTTGCTCATGAAGCACACACATCTGAGTAGCAGCTAGCCTTGGGTCCTCCTGGAGTGATGGAAATAAGCCAACTGAGACAGAGGCACCCAAGAGAACACTTGCACAGTTATTTATACATCTACAAATATAGAATATATATCAATATTCTGTACATATTTCAAGAGACTGGCACAAAGAACTAAGAATCTAAAATATAATCACCTAGCAGTCTTGCAGCCAGGATAGTGTAATCTCTCTGATTCTCATTCTTCTTAATACAAAAAAAAAGAGATACTGGTAATACAACTACTCTAAGTTTCTTACAAAAGTCCCCATTTGATTATACATACATACACACACACACACACACACACACACGTGCAGCACATGGAACTATAAAGAAATGTGCAAAAGTAAATTATCTTGGAAAAGTCGGCATCAATCAAGCTATATAGTGCATATGAAGTATGTCTCAGGTGTATTGTGAGTTCTCTCTCAGAAAGATGATATTTGCATAGTCATAAATATTCAAAATATATTGAGGGTAAAATGCTGATTGTCTGTTGTTCCAACATCAATAAATTACTTCTGTTGCCATATTGACAATTTATTTTCATCTCTTTTTTATGCAATAATTAAAAGAAGAAATGAGGGAAAATTAATCTTGATTATACAAAGGGTTTTAGCAACCTGTTATTTTTGGCATAGTATTTTACCACAAGAATTTTCCTCATACTAAATATTGATATTTTAATGCAATATTTTATTGCATTGTGTGCATCTGTGATGTGTAGTTGAATGTATTTCTTTGATTTCTGGGATAAACTCCTATAGGTGATGTTATTTGACTTTGTTGGAACATATTGACCCAGTGTTTTTCAGAGAGTTAATCCCAAGTTAATTTTTCATTTAAAAGGTTGTCCCAGTCTGAAAACTTATACTCATTACCTGCTGAACTTACTCTTTACTGGTACATTTGGAAGTTTCTGAGCATCTGATTGTAAGTTTTGATGTCACCTTTCTCTTTATTGTGCTTGAGTTCAACCTTCCTTTGAATTAATAGCTTTTTCCTCTCTATTTTTTAAATATTTTCCTTATCTAAAAGACAAGCATTCTACTTTATTCTTTACCAGTTATCATTGCAATTTTAATAAAGTATAATACTAATTAATATATTTAGCATCAAATACTAAAAAAGAAAACCCACAATTGATCAGCACTTATAAGCAGCCCATCCTTTCCTTTTTTATAGATTTACCATGACTTTCACCCCCAACACGAATCATTATTTTTTTGTGTGTGTATGTATTTTATACAGATGATGGTTTTTGGAATTATTCACCTATTTACCAACTTCTTTGTTCAAAGGTCCTTGTAGGACCCCTTTTTTAAAACAAATAATTTTCTTCTTTGTAAAACATATTCTTCAATAAATCCCTTTTGTTAATTAATAAGTTTAGTAAATTAAAGTTTTCTTGCAATAGGTACTTTTATGGTTTTTAACAATTTTTCCGAGAGTGTATTCCTTCATCCTATTCTTTAATGATAGCATAGTTGGAAGTATAGTTTTAGGATAACAATTATTGTCTCTCTGAACTTTTGAGATATTATTTAACTCATGTTTGATAACTATCACTGTTGATGATACTGCTTTCAGTGTATTTAATTGGTATTAACTTTTGTTTATCAATGATACAACTAGGATTATTTGCTAGGTTAGTTGCATATTTATTGGGATCATACCTTATTTAAGTTTACATTAAGTTACTACTACATTTCTGTGTATTACAAAATGTTAGAATCCCTGCAATTGAGATTTTCCTGCAATAAATTTAATAATGAAGACATCTACAAAGAGACATAGCCTACACAAATGGGAAGTCCTGTGTTTGAGGTCTGGGCATTGTGTTCAGGTAGACATCACTCGGTGGGTAGAAAGAGTGAGACAATATTAGTTAGAGAAGAAGAGTTGGGTATAAAAGACAAGACACTGGTGTGTAGAAAAGTATCAAGTCCGTTAACTCCAGTATGTTTCCCATGATTGGGACATAACAGAAAAGGTAATAGGTATATGGCATAATGCTTATGGTATATGCAGGGGCCAAGTTACAAGAAGAAAATGCCATTGACCTTAAAAGAGAAGATGGATACTTGAGAAATACTTAGCTCATAAAACTGTCAGACTTGTTGGTTGATTGGATATAGTTACGTGAAAGAGACAGAGGAATTTGGAATGAGTTCTAGGATTTTGCTTGAATTTTATAGAAGACATCTTCCAATTTGGTGAGTTGATGGGAGTTGCAGTTTGTCAACTCTTTTAAAGACCAAAGAAAAATGTCCCTGTGTACTCTTGAGGAACACAGCAGTTGGAAGATGATAAATTTTTAAAATATTCAGTGAATATATACACCATGAAAGAAGTTTAAAAATACTCTATGAGATTTAGATGTTGTTTATTAGATGTCTATATATCATTCAATAAATTAAAACAGTAGAAATAACAGTGAAGAAATTGTTTACTCAGTGTGACTGAAGGAAATGAGAAATGGCACATATACAAACCCTTATTGATTACAATATTCAACGATTGGCTAAACAAAGGACTTAATTTGTGACCATAAAACTAAGAAATCATGACCAGCATCCTGATTACAGAGAATTTTGTCCCCATAAAGCTTAAAACTTAACATTTTGGAATGTTTTGTAATAAAATATTTTTGAAATAAAGTATTTGTGGAAGATGTTTAAATATGGACTACATAGAAAGAAAATAAATTGAAGCATTCACAAAAGTTACAACTATCCCTTGTGCATTTAAAGACTCTTGCACACATTATTTTTAATTAAGCATCATAACAATAGGTATAAATAGTTCTGATTATAATTCTTACATTGTAGATGACTCAGAGAAGTTAAGTGATTGACTTTAAATTACCTAGAAGGTCTTTAATGCACATTTCCTAAGTCCTTGGGTGGGAAAAGAGGTGTTTGGTATCAGAACAACAGAATTTCAGGTATTTTATTGTGAATGATCTTCATGATGGCTTCAATTGCCTTGAGCATGCCTGTTCCAAGAGCATGAGTGGGCAGGGGTCTGAGGGTTGGGTGAGTGGTTTGAGATGGGAAGTAGTGATGTAGCCTTGCTCTAAATATCCTCCTTTGACCAGGAATCTCTTGCTTGTTTTTGACCCACTAGAGACAGAGGTCATACCCCCTGCTTTGGTTGGTATATCAGCATATTGGAATTACCTAATCAATTTTCTAGCCTGGGCTTGTCCAGACCCTCTGGGAATCCCTGGCAGATTCCCTGTATCCATCAGTTACACAGCCACACCTTGGTGATTGTGATAGTTCTGCAGGAAACATGGATCTGGAGGTAGATTTGAGTGTGTGTGTGTGTGTGTGTGTGTGTGTGGTGGTCATTTGTATTTCTTCTTTTGTGAAGTGCCTATTCAAATCACTTGTCCATTTTTAAATTGGATTACTTTCTTTTTTCTATGAAAGTCTTTTCAGTTCCCGATACAGTCTAGATATTAACCCTTTCTCAAATGAATATTTAGTAAACATATTCTCCCCCCTTCTGCAGGTTGTCAATTCACTCTGATGATTTTTCCCTTTGCTGTACAGAAGGCTTTAGTGTAACATGATCCTATTTGTCTATTTTTGCCTTCATTTCCTATTTTTACAGTCACGTCCAAAAAATCATTGTCTATACCAACGTCTTAAAGTGTTTTTCCTATGTCTTCTTCTACTAGTGTGAAGGTTTTTAAATTTTTCATTTGTGTCTTTGATTGTTGCACAGGGTGACTGGTAGGGGTCATGATTCAGTCTTCCACCTGTGGACACACCATTTTCCCAGCACCATTTATTGAAGAGGTGCTTCTTATCCAATGTATGCTTTGGGGCCTTTCTCCAGGATCAGTTGGCTGTAGATGTTTGGTTTATTTCCTGTTCCATTGGTTTATGTACCTTTTTTGACACCAGTGTCTTGCTTTGATTACTGTAGCTCTGTAATATGCCTTGAAATTAGGTATTTTGATGCCTCCTACTTTGTTTTGTTCAAGATTGCTTTGGCCATTTTGGGTCTTTAGTGTTTCCATATTTATTTTAGTACTTTTTTCTACTTCTGTAAAGAATGTCATTGGTGTTAGGTGCAGGACAGGCTGAATTGAGTTGTCTGCAGGGCATGCCAAACAAGGTTAGCTGCAGGGTGACCTGCAGCCCTCTGTCTGATCCTTTATCACCTGTTTGTGTCAAGTCTGAACACTCAACCCCACTCAAGGCTGAACACTTGACCCCCACTGGTCTGGTGCAACAGAAATCCACATCTGACCCCTGCGCCATCTGCTTGAAGGCAGAAGATGACACCCTTAGCAACTACTGTGTGATCCAATCATTGTCTGCCAACAAGGAAGGCAGCTTACAGACCCAGAGACCCCATTAGATTTGGGCTATAAAAACTCCCTCCTGCCAGCCCCTCGCTCTTGCTCTCTCTGTCTCCCTCCCTTGCTTTCGCTCTCCCTTGCTCTCTCTTTCTTCTCTATCTCTCTCTCTTCTCTCTGTTGCACTGCTACAATAAAGATCTCTTGGTTGCTCTGAGTGTTGTGGTCACTTTCCTTTCATTGGTGCCAAAACCCGGGAAGAGGGTTAATACCCACTTTTGGGTCCCTCCTCCATTGGAAGTGCCACTCACTGATCGGCCTGAACCCATTTTCTCGACCACCAGAATTTCGTTTGGTGAGTTTCCCCTTCCTGGAGTCCTAAACCCAATGGTGGTGTCGGGAGGATTTGACTGTTGATTGTCCGGCAAACCTCTTTGCC